AATACATCTACATGTTTGGATATAAACAAATCGATAGCTGTTGTACACCTTTGTACACTTCCTGAATATGCAGTACTGTAATGCAAAGGGTTGATTCAACTAACTGTGTAAATAAATGACAAACAAGACTGGCAAAGAAAACATACATTGCCATGGCGACGATGGTTGCTGTTAGGGTTATTGTTTGCATGGCACTGCATTGATTTCATGATTTTGAGAAAGCCTTGGTACCTGTTAAGTCTAGATAGATTCTAGGGAGTCTGCACTACTCTCCTGAGTGTATAGTGAACGAGTCCCGGGGTTAGTAGCGCAGACAGGTTTTCCCAAGGGTGTCCAGGAATGTAGGCATAGATCTGGGTCTGCAAACAGAGCTGGGAGACATTCATGCCTGTGGACAAAATACCTGAGTGTACAATTCCTAGTATTCTTGCAAATTGCACACGATACTGTACCATTAGGCTCCTCCCTAAGAGGTCGCCAAAAAATTTACTTCGTGTCGTCCTAATCTTACCTTTACATTAAGCACCTTTGAGAACATGTAAAGAACCACTGCAGCAGGGTAGGGACACTTCAGGTGCTTTTAGTGGTTTCAGAACAGTAGCAAAATGTAACTTTTGAAGGAACTATACATATGTACATGTATATACCATCTTTTTACCCAAGTACTAAAGGAGCAGAATATTTGTTTGTTTTAGAAAGTCATCTATTAGGTGATTTGGGCCGCAAGTACTAGTACATGTATCATTGCTATATGACATTCTCTTCCAAGCTACTGCTGTTTGAAATATTGCTGATGTAGCTGTTGTTACTACCAACACTACTGATACTACTGTAAGTGCTGTTGCTGCTGTTCCTACTACTTCTCCTGTTTGCAATATGATTACCACCTACAGTACTACTATTACTACTACTACTACTACTGCTGCTGCTTGTGCTGTGTCTGTCCCTGTGACTACTGGAGCTAATGCTACTGCTGCTGCTCCTTCTTCTCCTGCCATCCTGTATTCTCCTCCAAGCATTGCCAATTTGAACAGCCTCTTCCACAACAGCTCTTTGGCCTGGCTGCAGAAGGTCGGATACAACTTGGGAAAACCCTCTGTCTGAAAGTGGGATAAAATCAACGATAAGTAAACGAAAGATTATGAGAGACAAAATGGGTAAACTGTTGCAAATCAGTGCTTTATCTTTACTGCAACATTAAGTGACCTTAAACATTAAGTAAGGATACGTTTATGTTCAACCTAAAGAGAGTGTAAAGATTACCTGCCGATTGTGGCATTTATGATGGCTTAAGTGTGACTTAAATACTGCTTATAATTCTATTGAAATATTTAAGCCTCATTTACAAACACCATTAAGCATGCTTAAATATCAGTTTTTGTGCAGTGAAAGACGCAACTTTGCAGGCACTATCTAACACAAACTACAAGTAGCCATAACTGACCAGCCATAATAAAAATAGCCAAGGTGCCAGACTGCTACCAGACCATTATACAGGCTACATGTAGCTGCTGGCTGCAGGGCCAACCTAGCCTGGGTGCCAGACTGCATTACTAAGGCCAGTATGAAGGGTAGCTCCTCAGCTCCAGGGCTAACCTGTCCCACAGGAAATTTTACCACAGATGCTCCTCAGTTAGACTCTGAGCAACTCAGGGTGTAACTGGGGGCTAGCCTATGTACATTTTTTGTACAGTAGCCATTACAACCGTCTGGCAACCAAACTATAATGAAAAGAAACCTTTGAATATAAAAAAAAAAAAAAAACAGTTACTCAAGCAACTGGATATGACTTTGGAAATTGTCAGATGTTTCGGGTAGCAGCCACTACCTTTCGTCTCTGAATATTGTATTTCAAATCAATGATTTCGAGATTTCAGGGATCTGAGGTTCTCTCACCAGCTGATATCAGACTGCAGACAACAGCTTTGACCAGGGCCAGTGCCGGGTTGGACCGGACCATGTGTTCAGCTGAGGAGGGGGGGAAGTGGTACGGGGGCCACCAGTCCTGTCTGATGTACCAACACTGTTCTAATGTGTCCAGCAGGGAAGGAGTTTGTCTGCATAAAGAGTTTAAGGATGAATGTAATGTGAACTTCTGTCTATGAAGAGACAGATGTGTTGTTTCCAGTATTATACAATGTATGTTTATCAAAATAATCATCATTGCCGCATGTCAATGTAGAACATGTCAATAAAACTTCGCTGGAAGCAAAAAAAAAAGGTGCAGAGCAATACTATACACAGAAAGATGGAATGGCAATATATCACTGATCATTACACTTAAGCTTGTACATAGGTGTATAGGTACATAGGTGTGACAAGTAAGCATGTTGGCAGAACGCATAGCACTTCTGCAGAACTTTCTTTCTAGTACATTGTACTTTGTACATCCATGCATTTATCCCCGTGGGGAATGAACATGCAATGAAGTTTCAGTTATAAATAATTTCATGTTACAACTATATAGCCTGTCTAGCTCCAAGAAAGCCTGCTGAAGATGTTATTTTCCCACTAACATTGTGTGAATCTTCCTGAGGACATCTGCCAGGTTCTGCCAGGGTCTGATGTCCTGACTCCAGCAGTGGTGGTCCAAAAGGTCAAACAGCACATGGAGACACTCACCTAAATCTTCTGTGTACAAACATGCCAAACAGTAAGACAAAGAATAAATGCTTTTGAAAAAGCTGGCTGGGGACCTGGTTGGATGCCGTTAGTGTGATGACGATGTGGACTTCGGTAGTGCTAGTAAGACTGGACTGAACAGATGCACAACTGTAATATATTAATGTATTATGCGCTCTTTCCAATAGAGAATATATTTTAATACTTAATTAGCAGTTATGTGTGATGAAGAAGTGCATAACTTCTTGTTTCATGTGGCCAGTCTTTCCCTCCTGACATCTGCTTGGTTTTCATTCATATGGCAATGTACACAATTGACACACATCCATCGAACAAACCAACATGCATCAAAGGTACATGCATGTAATACTCAGCACAAAGCAGCAAAAAAGTTGTCTTGTCAGTGTTCAACACTGTTCATGTCAATGTTATCTCAAACCATACAACACAATTTCAGCTATAGTTTACTTACAACTACATGTACATTGTACTAGTACATGTTGTACATCTACTTTTGAGTTTTAATTCTCCCAACACAATTATACTTTGTGACAGAGAGAATGGTGGCAAACTTTGATCATATCATGCAAGCAGATCCCACCAGCAATAAAAGAATTATCAATATAAGGACATCAAACGTGGTATGTGTACTGTACCTTCTTGCTTTAAACAAACAAGGTCCAACATCAGCCCATCTGATGGCACTATTTTCTGCAGCTCCTATATGGGAAATATTTGAAGATCAACACCGTGTACTAGTCAAGACAGTCAAATTACAAAGTTAGGTGTGATCAGCCATATGATCAGTAGTAGTGCAGTACTAAAGTTGCTCACCGGGTGGCACTTCTGTTATATGCATGAAGGTGTATGCATTCAAACTTGCTTTATACAGTAGCTGTCTTGTTTTTTTTACTCCGTGAAGGAGGTCAGGACCTCCGGACGGAGTGTTGTGATCGGCTGATTTTTCGTGTTCGCAGTCAAAACACTGGGTTCTCTTTGTGTAATCGGCACGCAATTTTATACGCCGTCTTCGGGCATGCCCGTGTTGATGCACGAATGTGTATTTTTGCCGTTGCAGCTTTCGCGGTCAATGTAATATTGCAGACGCACCCCTACAATTACGAGGCGAATTGGAATGGTCCAGAAAAACGCGTTGTTTGGAATAGCAGTGGGGGGGGTGGAACTTCATGCAGATACGGGGTGGTTTTGATAAGTGGTTCCAGATGTTTTTGCCCATGGTTAAGAGATGCCAAGTTTTTTGGAAGATGTTCGCAGCCAAAACGCATTCTTCCGTACGTCGCATTTTTGTGTAATTTCGCATGTGGTGTGGCATTATGTCCGGGATGATGCACGTCTTTTTATTTTTACCGTAGCTGTTTTGATATTGGAGTAAATGGTTATTTTCGAAACATCCCCATGTCGTTGAAATGTTGTCGTCCGTTTATGTCACCGGTAGTAAGTCGCGGCGGGGCTGATGGGGCGGAAATGTGGGGTGGTCAGAGGTCAACATTAGGAAATGTTAATACCGATGACGTAATCCTATCGATTTCAAACTGGTCGGGTGTGGCGACCTATAGCTAGTGGCGGCGTGTATTTAGTCACGTACATTGTAGCAACTGGCCGGTCGTCCTAGCAACGACACATGGCCAATATTTTTGGGTTGGGCCGCTCCATAGTGTTAGTGGAGCAGCTCTTTGTAAACATGGACAATATTTTTGAGCAACCCATCAGTGTTCTGCCTCGTGGTCGGATGTGGTCTGGGGCTGGTAAACCGCACATACAGTACTAGTAGATCGGGTAATTTTATGATTTGCTAGTTGTAAAGGCGTCGTGTAGTATGAGCCGGTATATGAAGAAGTAGCCTGTGTTACACAATCATGCTTTCGGCCGGATTGATGTGCAACTGTTACTAATTACAGGGACTGCGCTAATGCCGACCAGTCGCGCTGTCCTGATACACCGCGAATGTGCGAGTGTTCCCTGTAGACAGTCCCGGGAGTCATTTTTTTCGCACATTCCAGGAGCCAAACCAAAATACGTTCATGAACCGAGTCCAAAAAACCGAAACGTGAAAATCGGATGATCGGACCTGATGTACATTTCTCTTTCTGTAGATTGTACACACAATACATACATCTTTAGATAATCTGGCCATGGCAGGTAAAAAAAACGTAACCCTGAATCATACTAGATTAGCGTAAATGCATGTTTATGCGTTCAAAACAAGAAAAGAATTTGTTTCCCGGTATTGATCTCTTGAAACACGGCGCTGAATATTGACGCAAAAATATTTCGGGCATCGCGCGCCCTTCCCCGTTGTTTAGACTGTATGCAAATCCCGCGTCACGTGTCGGCATTTCGCATCTCTGATTGGTTGTTGCGTCTTAAGATGACTGAGCCGACGCGCGTTTAAACAATTTTTCTTTGTTCGATTTATCACACTTCACAGATAATTGTCGCCAATGGCTACTTCTTTTTGTACAACGTTGCAATATATAATACTTCACGGAGAATTGTCGCCTATGGCTTCTTGTTACTGATTCAAAAAGCTTGTAACAACATTCCTTGTAAGCTTTTCTGACAGCATTTGTGTCTAATTACCTCCTTGAAAAATAGAGGTATTCAACTATTGTTTAGGTCTGCATATCTGTCTTCATCAGTTGAGATAGATTATGCTAATTACAACTTTATTTCCATAATCAACAAGACAGAATAAAACAACAAAATTAGGTCTAATTATTTCATGGACATATATGAGATCTCTGAACTCTTATTTTTGCACTTTGCAGGTTTACCAGAAGTAGTTATAAGTTACAAACCTTAAGCACTTTGACTTTTTGCTCATTAGGACTGTTATGTTTCTTCAGGAAGAAGTAGTAATATTTGTGTGCATTTGGATTTTCTGGGTTCTTCTCCCAGTACCCCTGCAGAACCTTCCTAGCCTCTTCTGTCCTTTCATAATATTCCAGCATCTAGGAGAACAAAAACAACAGGATCAGCATCGGTATTAAAGAGGGTCTGCATGGGGCATGCTGGTGATGCCTTACACTAACTTACAGTAAATAAATAAAAGTTAGGAGGGTTGCCAATGCTTTACTTTTTAGGAAGACCATCTGTATCTGTATTCTGTATAGCCAGTATAACCGCGGTCTCATCAAGATCTACACATGTACCAAATATTGAAGATAATCCATTGAAGCCTTCTCAAGTTATCATGTTTACAGAAACACATACACACACACACACATGAATACCTCTGAAAACATAACCTTCTTGGCGAAGGTAATTATAAACTGATATACATGTACAAGGTGGGCAATGGAAGTGATATGCATCAACGTCCTCTGTTGACTTAGCAAACAACTGCAGGCAAATTTCCACAGAGAGTACAAAAATAGTATCATAATGGTTCAACACACAAATCTTTTGAACAGAAAGGAAAACACACAAATAGGTTTCAGGTATGAGCTTGCTTCATTTCAGACATGCCTTTCTTCAAATGGACCAAATCATGAATTGGTGACAGTGTTACAGTGTTACAAAATAGAATTGTCTTTAGCTTATCATATCTGTATCCTTTTAGAGCAAACAATCACATGACAGGCACCTGCACAGCTGTTTAGTTTAGCTATTGATCAATAATTTTTTGTTTAAACAAACTCACACATCAGCAAAGGGGTGACATATACATCTGGCTTATTGCATACAAACTAAAAGTACTGTAGACTTGCTTTTTTTTATAGAATTACAAAATCCTTTATCACATTCCCATCTGAAATCACCTTTTAGTAAGTTCCCTAAAGGTTGGAATAAAACATGGGAAAAAAGTTCATCCAGTCTCCCTCAGTTTTTAGTCAAGCCCACCGCAAACATGGTCCAAACTAGACTTTGACAAGGCTGGCACATCAATAGAAAACAAAACCATGGCTGGTGCACCGTTGAGTCTGGGCACACAAATCTGTGAAGAACTGTCCTGCAGCATCTGCCTGGAGCTGTTCACCAGGCCCAAGATGCTGCCCTGTCAGCACACCTTCTGTCAGGACTGTCTACAGGACCATGTAGAGAGGGGAGGGACCTTCCTGTGCCCAAACTGTCGTTGGCAGGTCAGGCTGCCACCCCAGGGGGTTGCAGGTTTACCAGACAATATCATGGCGACAAATATGTGTGAAAGATTCCAACAGCAGAATGCACTGTCAGGGGAAACAAGGGAACAACCCGAATCTGGAAACAGGTGCAGCGTTCACCCTTCTGAAGAGCTCAAAGTGTACTGTACACAATGCCAGATACCAGTTTGTGATCAGTGTTTAGAACAGGGTCATGATGATCATCGAACAACATCTATCAAAAAAGCTGCACAGGAAAGGATCTCTACGGTCCGACCATTGATCAATGAGGGGAGGAACATTGTGGAAAGTTACTTAAGCTTTCTCAGAGGTCTGAGGGAAGAAGAGAAAACCCTGAATGAGAAGAAAGAGCAGAGAGACAACAGCATCACTCAGGCCTACAACCAAACTGTGCAGAAACTCACCCAGAGAAAAGACCACCTCTTGTCTCAATCAGACGAAAACCACACAAAAAACTTGGACAGAATACAGACTGAAAGAGACAGAGTGTTGGCAGATATCAAAGAGCTGTCTGCTGCCTGTGATCGAGCAGAACAAGAACTGCAGCAGGGATGGGTTGAGTTTTTCAGTCAGCAAACCGCTTTGACAGAGGTGGTAGGAGAGTACAGACGAAAAGCAGCACCAACACCTGTACAACTCCAGCCTGCTGTCTTTCAGCGCACAGACACCCCCGTGCCAGCATTGGGACATGTGACAGTTCAGTCTCTTCCATCTGCACCAATCCCAGCAGCACCTGCAGCAAGGGGCACAGGTCATCACCATGGTGACCAAAGGCAAGGGGAGCATCAGCCTCAAAAGGTGACATTTGGTGAACGGAGATCAAGAACAGGACAGTTTCGGGTTCCATGGGGTGTCACAGTGTCAGATGAAGGGGAGATATTTGTAACAGACAATGGTGACGAGAGAATCCAAGTCTTCACCCTGCAGGGAACGTTTGTTCGACAGTTCCGAACAGTCGTGTCAGGTGAAGAGAAGATGGGTCCATGGGATGTGGCCCTGGACAGGGAGGGGAACCTGTGGGTGGTGGGGAGAACAGGGGATGGTGAGTTTGCTATGCAGTACAACAAACATGGCAGAGTGCTGAGGAAGATTGACCTACAGAAGTCAGGGTGGTTTAGGGGAGTTGCCGTGGACACCAGGAGGAACTGGATCCTCATCACACAAACCACAGGAGCCGGCTGGTATAACCAACATGGTGAAATACAGGTGTTCAGGCCAGATGGAACACTGGTGGGAACCCTGAGTGGGAAAAGGAAGAGCTTGCTTGCATCACTATTATCAAGGCAGCAGGAGATGACATTTCCACTGTACATCACAGTGGATGGGGAAGGGAACATTCTTGTGTCAGACTGGGACAATCACTGTGTCTATGTGTACAACGAGAACGGACAGTTCCAGTTTGGAGGCAGGGGAAGTGGTGAAGGTCAGCTGAAGAATCCCCATGGCATCTGTACAGACAGGGCAGGTAACATCATCGTGGCAGACACGGGAAACAGGCGCGTGGAGATGTTTGACAAGACAAGAAAATTCCTCAAACACATCAATACAGACTTGAAGGAGCCATGGGCTGTTGCCATGGCAAAACAGGGACAGCTGGTAATAACTGATTATTCAGATGACAGTGTAAGCATATTTCAAAACTTCTGAACCTGTGTGAGGTGACAATATCAGTTTACATACTTGGCTGTTGTCTAAAGTTTGTTGATGCTGTATTAGCAGAGATAATTGGCCTACAAAGCAAAAGAATTCAGGTTTGAATAAATTAACCAAGCTTTCAGCCTAAAGACCCCTTAGAACAAACTTAGCTAAAATTAAACATTGTCAATAATAAAAAAGAAAGTGATCAAATGTACACACTGGAATGTATTTACAGAGAGTTAAATGATGTTTAAATCTAATATAATTTAAATGAGTTTTTATTCTGGCCAAGTCAAAAACTTTCTTTACATTTGGTCATCTTGTGTGTTCAGGTATTTTTAGTTTGTCTGTCTTATTTTTTGTTTGTCTGTACATGTGGACACATCTAGAATGAAGTGGTCGGTCCCTAACCTGACATTATCAGAATCAACATGGCGCAGCTGTTTGGAAAGTCAACATGATATCCTACTATTTACATATAGAAAATGTTTAACTAGAATTTTGGACACTTGACAAATCGGTTTAATGTGTATAGAATTCTAGAAAGGGCTGGAAATCAGTTCAGTTCATCCTCGAATGAGGTGCCACCTAGCTAGCACACCCCTCCAAGTACAAATACTGTAATTCTTGATTTGATAACGGTCACTTAATCATAGCGGTCTTAGCGGTCACTATTCCACCACTAAATTTTCATGATCGCAACTTTTTTTTTACCACTTCCGCCCCCCTCCCTCTTGCCCCAAGCTCGTTACGGTACGATCGCAATCACGCTTCATTTCTTGACTACAACATGCACACAACGCACAGTACTAGTGCTTCACATAGGAACAAGCAAAACACTGATGTGCTTCCAGAAATAAAATATTTATTACCTTCGCCAAGAAGGTTATGTTTTCAGGGGCGTTCGTGTATGTGTGTGTGTGTGTGTGTGTCTGTCTGTCTGTCTGTCAACACGATAACTTGAGAAGGTCTTGATGGATTGTCTTGATATTTGGTAGGTGGGTAGGTCTTGATGAGACCTCAAAATGATTAGATTTTGGGCCACCTGGCGGCTTGTCATGGTACTGCAGCAGAACTTCCGGTTTTGATATCTCATGATCCAGACATGCTAGGGTGACGAAATTTGGATGGTAGATAGCTCTTATGCTGGGAATAAAGTGACATGAGTTTGAGCCCCCTAGTTGCTTGCTCTAGAACTGCAGGGGGTTTAATGGACAAATGTTTAAAGGGGGATAACTCAAGAACCGATTGATGGATCATCGTGATTTTTGGTATGTATGTAGCTTGAGTGATGCTTGACATAATGATATTACAATTATGCAAATATGGATGTAATTTGCATAATTAATGAGGAAATTCTATTTATCAGCTGCATTCCATAATAGGAAGTTCAAGCTTGTGACATATGTTATTAAGAATGAGAAAAACACAGGCAGATATCGATTATGCAAATGAAGACTTAATTTGCATAATTAATGAGAAAATATTATAATTGCATAGTGGTAACTGCCTGGAATTTTATACTTGGGGTGTTTGAAAGTTAAGTTAAGGTGAACATAATTAAACATAACTTATTCAAATAAGGACCTTATTTGCATAATTTATGAGAAAATGTCATCATGGCATTCTTTGTTAAGATAAGACTGTCTTTTGGTGGAGAATATGAACAACAGATATAATTCATGCAATTGAGGATCCTATTTGCATAATTAGGGGGATTAATATATAATTTCTTAATCATAAAAGCTAACATCATTTGGCGAAGGTATGAGATCGTGGAACTCTAGTTAAACATAAAGTAGTTCATATTTTTAACAATTATGCAGTGCTAAGCAAACCACAGTAAAAAAAATCTTGTGAACATGCACAAACACATGTGACGTAGTGATGCTTTGAAATTTCCCAGCTTATCTACACTTGGGTATTTATAAATATTTTAAGCGTATATTTCGATTTAGAAGTTTCTTCATAAATTTACAGAAACGATAGCCGTTCATTTTGTGCTACTACGGGACAACATCGAAAAAAATGAGACGAGTTACAAAATTCAGCGTCGCCCAAGCGTACAGACAACAACAAACAAAATGGCGGCCCGGCGGGCAACTTCACAAACGAGTTACAAACTACGAGAAATGCGGCATAAATCTGCTTAATTTCGAGGTAGAAATCTAGGTAGAAATACAATCAAATGTTAAGCGTCATTTGTACTACAAAATCTAAAAGCGTTAATAGCGTGCTACAACTAAGACGAATCGAAAATTCGGGAACCAAGCGCTGAGTGAAAAAAATGGCGTCACAAGTTTTTCGAAAATTGTGAGTCAACTTTTACGGCAAAAAATACGATTAAACATTACTGTTAAAGGCTATAGTGTCTGTAGAACTTTCTCGAGGGCGTCATGGATTCCATTACGCTCCAATCCTAGGGCGAAGACGCCGGGTTTCGCTGTAAGCTCGTCTGCGGCGCCAGACAAAGCGGCGTGCAGCGGCATAGCGTGCCGCGGCATAGAGCTTGGGGAGGGGGGGCGGCGGTGCCGCACGCAACACAAGCGTGCGTAATTACGAACTTTTTGAAGTCACCGCGCCGCTACAGTACTTTGTAAATTATTTACTTCCAGACACCATCGGCGTGCCTGTTCTGTTTTTTCTTTGTAAAAATCGATTTTCGCTGGCGTAAACTGCTTTTTTTATTTTCTTAAAAAAAAAAGGCCAGTGTTTTAATGTATTTTTTACACACATCAGCCATGTTCTCACACCGCTATAATTAAGTGACGTGAGCTTGTCCATTTTTTGCCGACCGCTATAATTTCCAACCGCATTTTTAAATGGATTTACAGTACCACAAGCATATGCAGGTAAAACTGTAGTTATGCCTGTATTTTTTATATTTACCTGCACCTAGCCTGCACTGGTCCATGATAAAACCACGCCCAGATACTAGAGGGACATACTTGTATGACCAGTGCTGGACAAAAACTGCCTTGTATTCTTTAAAATACATGTACATGTAGCATCTGTGAAGACAGCAGGGGACACAGTAGGATTAGAAATGGTGCTACATGTACTAGGAACATTTCAACATTGTACTCAGAACTGCGCCTGTCTAGTTCTATGACTGTATGGGTTACGGTTAGGCAGGATTCTGGAGTCTCCAAGAAGTTCTGGATATGCACTGTTCTGGATATGCACTGTTCTGGATATGCACTGTTCTGGATATGCACTGTTCTGGATATACACTGTTCTGGATATGCACTGTTCTGGATATACACTGTTCTGGATATGCATGCACTGTTCTTGGTATGCATAATTAAACTATTCAAAACCATGCCTAGATGAATGGTTCTGGATAAAGTATGATTCTACAACTTAAAGTTCCCTACCTCTACTTGTTTTGTGACAAAGATGTCCCAGACACCAGGCTCCTTCAGCACATCTTCAAAGTTGTCTTCCGCCTTGCCGGCATACCTCTGGACTGTCTCCTCACATGTGGTCAGGGTGGAGTCCAGCATCACTGACTCCTCTGTAAGAACAGTGCAGCAAATCAGTTAGTAAGTAATATCAGGAAATATCACAACTTTTGAAGAAATATTACAGTTATTTAGCATTAGCTTACAAATATGTAGAAGGGAATTGTAACTGCTACTTTTTATTCTTTTTGTTCTTTGGTTTAACAAAAATGCTACGAGACATTTAAAACAAGTCTTCTATAACCTTTAATCGAATACTTCCTTATTTTAAGTTCCTGTTCCCTTCTCAGGTATGAAAATAACCTGAGATGTTTAAATATGATACATGTACAATCGTCATGTACTTTCGTTGGGAGACCCTTGTTACAAATGTACCTTTGTGTACTTTGTTAGTTTTTTTTCATTGTGCTTGTCTAATTGTTTGCTTGAGTGTCTGGACTTATTTGAATACAGTAAATCATGTCATATATGTAGGAAGTGAGGGAGAAATGTTATAACCACAGACTGACAGGAAGGTCAAATTGGAAGCCTCCCCGGTAGATTGGGAGGAAGCGAGGTCAAACTGTAATCAGCAAGAATGTCACAGTAATAAACAAAACAATAAGTTCACAACAAATCTAGATATTTAACGGAGGTATGAGATATTTGATTTCTTGGTTCCTTACGTGTGTCGTAACCTCCCGTGAGGCCGCTAACGTCCTGTAGCTGGCTGACTTTATGTCTCCCCTGTATCCACAGTCCATACTCTATCAGTCCAGTGTAGGCTTTCACAACAGGCACCCAGATGGGCTGAGTAGCCTTGGTGAAATATACCGCCCCTTTCTTCCTCAGAGGCCCTGACTGGAATATAACAACAGGCAAGATTACCTGACAAGCTAGATTGTCCAAAATAAGACGATGAATTACATCTTATCACTCCATTTCGTCTAGAGTAGGCATCCTCCATATTTCCTCTACATTAAATCACATGTATTATAATCTCCCATAATTTATAATTCTATCCTAAACTTGAATTTATCTTCACTTCCCTTTCTATTTTAATATTCTTTTTTGTTTTCTTTAACATAAGGCCATGTTGATTTGATTATATGGATGACATCCGCGCGCGCATGAATTTTCGGCCGTTTCCAAAAAAAAAAAGTTTTCAACCATACTGTAAATCGTACAAAACAGTTGCAAAATGAGCAAAAATATACCATAAGTTACAAAAAAATAAGTAAAAACTATACCAATGTCGTAGAATGCCAAAATCAAACGAAAAAAGACGAAATTGTAAGGAAATGAACTTGAAGATTAGATTATTCGCCAAACCATATTCTGTCCCATTTGTTCAACCCTCATGACCACGTAGATTTCATAATGAAAACAACTTTTCTTTTTGCAAAACTTTTTTTTTATTCGCACGCGCACATCAGTTTTGGGGCTCCCGGAGGATGTCATCCATATAATCAAATCAACATGGCCTAACTGGTGTATAACACACCGGTATTTTGTACAGTAAGTACAAACCGCCTAGGACTACAATGTAGGAACAGACTGTAAGGTTTGAACCACTCAGACTATATCTACATGTAGAAAGGACCCCTTACGTATATACATTTGTATTTAAACTCTTTTCACAGTCAGTGTGGGGGGATCTTTAGCAAATTCGAGGTGTGGCTCTCCTCAAACACAGGACCTCTGGCTTTATGTCCTATCCGAGAGGACATCCGTAACCAAAGCTTAAGGCACTCATTGTCACCAGTCAAGTGAGGAAGTAGGTGTAGGCAAAGTGCCTCTCCCAACGACACAATGATGGGGCCCGCCAGGGATTTGAACCCAGAACCTTCTGATTCTGAGTCAACAACTTTAACCACAAGACCACCTTGCTACATTACCATCAGACTATGCAAACTAGCTACAGTAATGGAAATGTTGCACCCCTGACGAAAGTCAGTAAAAGTTCATAAAAATTCATCCTGCCTTATATTGCTTAAATCATCATAAGATTTTCTCACCTTGATTGTTTCGTAGGCCTCCTCCAGTTGTCCCTTACTCAGCAGGTGGAAGATGAACTCCAGGTGAACTTGGAACCGATTCAGCGTCACCACTTTCTCCATGTTACTGCAGTAGATAAAGAGTAAAGAAGTAACCAACATCAACATTAACAAATTATAAAATTTAATATATTATAATTCAGGGCTTTTTCTGCATATCTGCATCAGACAAATTTTACCTGCACCACTAATAATTTAGGAAGCATGGATCATACTAAAAATGCCCAGAAATCATTGCCATTGTTTATTTTACACTACATACTATTAGGTGGTAACAGTTAATGCAGAAAATAACAATCCACATACACCTACATTTCTATATAAACTCCGTACAAGGACCGGTACAGGTTAAGTGCAGGTAGACATTAGAAACAGCTCCAATTTGTCCTGCACTAATATATCTGTATAAATGCAGGCTGTATTTCAAGCTCTTACAAAAATGTATGTATGGGACATGTATATATATTTCAGTGTAAATGCTATAACTGGAATGACAAGTTAGTCCAAAGTACAAGGCTGTGATTAACATCTATGTGACATCTATGCTGGCTTACATACATTAGACAAAATCTGAAAGTTTTCTGTAGTAAGTAAACTTACTCTGCATGTGACTGGAGGTGAACAGACTCTGTCCCAGGATGGTTGTACAACACTTCTGATCCAACCTGAAATAGACAAAAATTAAACCATAACCACAGAAGTCACTCCACTCCCATATCCATTTTTCAACTAGAAAAATTTCATACCTAGATTTGATACCTACGTGAGATAATTTTTTAGTTTGTGTGAATCTCTAATTTAATTCATAATTGTAAATTTCTTTTTGGTGCTGTCCATGCATTTCCCTTCCAGCTCCCATAAAGCAACAGACATGCATAGGAAATTGAAGATAGGAAACGAGATAACCTTTTTGGGATCTTTGACCTACATGTAACTTCCTGCCTAGCATATGGAACTAACTACAAAAACAAGCATACAAGCAAAACCTTGTGTAAGGTAACAATGTTTTACAAGACAGTGTGACAGTAACGTAGATAATACAGATCAGATCTAGAACACAGACATATCATGCTTCTTACCTGCCAGATGATATGTCCTACATCCCTGTACTCGGTGCAGAGTGTTTCTCCTTACCTGCCAGATGACATGTCCTACATCCCTGTACTCAGTGCAGAGTGTTTCTCCTTACCTGCCAGATGACATGTCCTACATCCCTGTACTCGGTGCAGAGTGTTTCTCCTTACCTGCCAGATGACATGTCCTACATCCCTGTACTCGGTGCAGAGTGTTACTCCTTACCTGCCAGATGACATGTCCTACATCCCTGTACTCGGTGCAGAGCGCTGCCATGACGTGTGCTGCCTGGTGCCAGTTATGCTGTAGCAGTGCCCGGCGCAGCAGGTGTACCAGGGGAATGTGGATGGGCTGGTGACTGTTCCCTCTGCTCACAAATTGTAGACCCTTGTTGGCTGAGGATAGACAATACAACGTGCTGATCTCGGCAAATATACTAGTATATACCAGGGCTTAAAATACTGAAATAAAATATGTGCCACTAAATAAGTCAAAACAAGATTAAGCTTTACTCCCGTAGCGGTAATTTAGATAGGCGAGCGAAGGGCTCTTGACTGCCGAAGGAAAACGGCCTGATACTAGTTTGGCATCCAGGGTACCAGTCAGCCTATTTACTGGAATACATGTACACACAGGAATAGATTGGACTACAAATTAGGAATACATTGGACTACAAAATAAAGGAGGGTGAATTCTACCACACTCTACACTTTGCTTTGATGACTTAATAATTCCTGTATTTTTGCATAAGATATATGGCTTAGGGGGAAAAAGAAATCACCAGAAATTACAGAGTATCAAGTTACCTGGTCACCAGCGCCAATCGGCACAAAGTAATACATGTATCTAAGAAATTTCTTGTTCCCTGGGCCATGTACAGTATCTAATGCCAAAATATAGCAACCTGGGATATTAACTCATCAAAGCAAATGTGTATTCCAGTAGCTTTCACCCTCCTTTAAAATTGTAAATTTACAATGTATGTGTATTGTGATGTATTTTGGTGTATTCCAGTGAATAGGCTGACCCTATCAACCATATACCTTCTGTCTCCACTTGACTGTCTCCAGAAATGAGAGTGTAGAAGGGAGTCCCATCCTCCTCCTCCTCCTCCCCATCCAGCAGCCCTCCACTGGTCCATGTGGTGGAGGAGAACACACTCTCCTCATCACCTCCATCTGACTCAGTCTCCATCATAGCATCTAAACGACTAACGATTGATGATCTATGTCAGTATCTGTATCAGTATTTTGTATGATGTGTGTGTATCTCATGCATCTGTATAGCCGGTATAACCGCCCCTCTGCGTAACACACCAGCTTCTGTATCTTGTCTGTATGCCAGCTGCGGTGGCAGCTGGCTATAATACTGAACGACTTGTTACATGTATCCTTTGAACATCTAACTCTAGACATTTGCTAATACTATTACTCATGATGCTCCTACTGTACTTGGTGGCAGCGAGTTCCACTCTGGCCTCAGGCCACACCAATTGAATTTGTTGGTTGGATGGTGTAACCTCAATTTTGGTTGAACACTCTGGTGCTTCAAGGCATGACATGACATGATTTCTGACAGGCATAACCTTGCCCTTTATATTCAGTCACCGGCCTGGCTGGCTGGCTGGCTGGCTCCCGGGATTCGAACTCTAGCCCACGAGATCCCATGAACCCCAGCCCATGAACCCAACGCACTATAAACTGCAAGGCCAAAAGGTCCGTACCTGTTCGACTTGTCCGTCGGTGGCGCCGCTTGATCCCCAGTGTTACACCTCTACAAATTTTGGCACGGAGACAGCTCGACTCGAAAGAAACATGTTCAACTTCGCTTCCGTTCCCGCGTTGTTAGGTCAAAGGTGACAAGTTTCCCACTATGCCACGCGGCAGACTGCAGACGTGTGGTAACGGCTTCATTTAAGTTGTCCCGAGTATGCAAATGAGGGCGTTCACATGTAAGACATTACACAGCGGTCCCACACGTATGCACCCCTAACTATTCTTGCACATCCTCACATATTCCCACTAATCCTTCCCTATCCTTACACATCCTCACACACCCTCTGCTATCCTTACACATCCTCTCCCATCCTCCTCTATCCTTACACATCCTCACACATCCTAACCAATCCTCCCCAATCCTTACACATCCTTAGCCATCCTCTCCCATCCTCTCCCATCCTTACACATCCTCTCCCATCCTTACACATCCTCTCCCATCCTTACACATTCTTACCCATCCTCTTCCATCCTCACACATTCTTACCCATCCTTACACATTCTTACCCATCCTCTCCATCCTTACACATTCTAACCCATCCTTACACATTCTAACCTATCCTCTCTCATCCTTACCCATCCTCTCCCATTCTTACACATTCTCTCCCATCCTCTCCCATCCTTACACATTCTTACCCATCCTTACACATTCTTACCCATCCTCTCCCATCCTTACACATTCTTACCCATCCTTACACATTCTTACCCATCCTCTCCCATCCTTACACATTCTAACCCATCCTCTCCCATCCTTACACATTCTTACACATCCTCTCCCATCCTTACACATTCTAACCCATCCTCTACCATCCTTACACATTCTTACCCATCCTTACACATTCTTACCCATCCTCTCCTATCCTTACTACATTCTTACCCATCCTCTCACATCCTTACACATTCTTACCCATCCTCTCCCATCCTTACACATTCTTACCCATCCTCTCACATCCTTACACATTCTTACCCATCCTCTACCCACCCTCCCTCATCCTGACACATTCTAACCCATCCTCCCGCATCCTGACACATTCTAACCCATCCTCCCGCATCCTGACACATTCTAACCCATCCTCCCGCATNAAAGTAACGAGGGTAACGGCTTCATTTAAGTTGTCCCGAGTATGCAAATGAGGGTGTCCACATGCAAGACATTACACAGCGGTCCCACACGTATGCACCCTTCACTGTTCTTGCACATCCTCACACATTCCCACTAATCCTTCCCTATCCTTACACATCCTTACACACCCTCTGCTATCCTTACTACATCCTTAGCCATCCTCTCCCATCCTCTCCCATCCTCTCCCATCCTCTCCCATCCTTACACATCCTCTCCCATCCTTACACATTCTAACCCACCCTCTACCATCCTTACACATTCTTACCCATCCTTACACATTCTTACCCATCCTCTCCCATACTTACACATTCTAACCCATCCTCTCCCATCCTTACACATTCTTACACATCCTCTCCCATCCTTACACATTCTAACCCATCCTCTACCATCCTTACACATTCTTACCCATCCTTACACATTCTTACCCATCCTCTCCCATCCTTACACACCCTTACACATTCGTACCCATCCTTACACATTCTAACCCATCCTCTCCCATCCTTTCCGATCCTCTTCCATCCTAACACATTCTATCCCATCCTCTTCCATCCTTACACATTCTAACCCATCCTCTTCCATCCTTACACATTCTAACCCATCCTCTACCATCCTTACACATTCTTACCCATCCTCCCGCATCCTCACACATTCTTACCCATCCTCCCCAGATCAAATCATTATACAAAAGGTACGAAATTATACATGGTCATGCTGAAGAAGCAGATTCATTGTATAACTTTGAACCTATAGTTTATTGATAAGAAAACTTATCAATGAAAGGAATATGACCTTCTTCATCATCTATGAAATTTTGGCCGTCGTACGTCAACACACCAGGTTGTTGACCTCATGTCTACATTTTTCCTCTGAATAACACGCACAAACTCGCGTGTAGACAGCAAAATTGGGCAGCAGTACACTGCAGACTGTGGGAGCAGATCTATGTGTTTGTGTGCCCTCCCCAAACACGCAACACAAACAATGAAAATATGTTGGAGTTTGTGATTTTGTGCATTTTAGTTACGTATCTTTAAAAGCTTCATTTGCCATCAAAACAGTATACAACAGAAAAGTTAACAAACTAAACATGACCCTCAAAATGTAGGCTCGTTCATTGCTATGGTGATGGACATAGGTTCAAAACACCATTTGCATTTAAAAATGCGGAGTGACGTCTGCATATGCTAATGATTATTTCAAGTACAACCTAATTACAGGGTTGTACTTACCACCATGCTAATTATTACCAAACCTATTAGGGGCTGTACGATATTTACCGGGGGGGGGGAGAGGGCTGGTGCGCTGGAATTCCGGTCAAAAAAATTTTCCATGGCCCTCCCCCCCAATCTCAAAATTTATTCCTTGGCCCTCCCCCTCACCTTAAAAAAAATTTTGCCATGGCCCTCCCCCTACAGATATTACCCGTAAATTCCCGAATAAAGTACACATCCCGATTAAAGTACGCACCCCCGATTTGGGGCTGGTGGGAGACAAATATTCCCGTCTGAAACGTAAAATGGAAAAACTCGAATAAAATACGCACCCCTTCTACACACGACCTATGCCACTGTGGACCTGTATGTATGTCTTAACGACAGTTCGTTCTAGAAAAAAAGCTGTTTAAAAATAGATTTAGGCCGTGTACTACGTGACTGTGTGGTAACTGGTTACAGTATTGTAGCGGGAAACGTTTGGTGTCGGGGCTTGTTTTCACCGCCGCAGCCGATTTACAGGACGTCACTTAGTTGTTCTTTAGTATACGAAACGCGCCGAACACTTATTTAATGAATGAATGAAGACCTTTATTGTACACACATACCCACTGGGTTAAGTACAGGTCACAAAAAAGGATGGAATATAGATAACGTTACATACATACATCGTCAAGTAGCGCTAGCTACAATCAAGTAAATTCGGTTTCTTCTCGTTTCTTAGTAATGGCAAAAATGTAAGAACAGATATGTTTCAATACAGAGGGTTTGTCTAAGCTCATTAGAAATATAAATTTATCTGTACAGCTTAGATATATAAAGAAGGGGAACATAGATTGTATCAGATTATAAAGATCTACTCTCTCTTTGTGGTATAGTTCACAATCCGTTACAAAATGTTTCTCATCTTCGATTCTTCCTAGATCACAGTACCGACATATTCGTTGTTCTAGGGGAGTGCGGTTATGTCTACCGGTTTCGATGTGTAATTTGTGGCAACTAATTCGCCCGCCCATCGACCCATGGGGAGCAACAATCATCGAGGCGGAGAACTGGGCGGAGTTTTAATGCTACTTTGGGTGTAGAGGTGCTACCAAATTTAAAATTTGACACCGAAATTAAAACAACAACAAAAGGCTACTGGGACTTGCCATTTCCAACAGGAGAGAGTGAAATGTCTGACTGCGTTTCAAATAATCTCTTGTAATGTGATAGATGTTTGTGTCACCAAATCAAAGGGATATACACTTCAAACATGTATAAATTTGCACTCCGTAAAACTTTATATGTAACGTTACACTCTGTTCAGAGGAGAGTTAGACTTCCTTCTCGGGGGCAGGTTCTGGAAAGCTGTCCCCAGCGCTGCCACGGCCCTCTCTTCGTTTTTCAGTTGTAGGTGCACTTTGGGGAAAGAGTTCGGCGTGAACAATAGAACGGGCGTAGCATGGTTCAAAGTTGATTTTATTCACGCCGATCACACTTCAGTTCGTGCACGTGGCTTCCCGCTCTAGATGGGGTACTTCACGCGTTGCCAAGGCAACGGCACGAATACTGGCGCCACGCCTGTCGGCGCGTACAGACTGGACCCGCCCACCTGTCGGTCGGTAAGATTTCATTAAAGACATTTTATAACTCCGCCCCTATCATTGTAGTTTGCAACAGCCAGGTAGAAGTACATCTAGCTGGCATTTTCACGTCGTGCGTGGCAGCTATAGCCCGCTACAAAGTCATTTTCTGTGGCATTTATCAATGTTCAAAAAGATTTGTGATACGAAATGAAACATGGATAACAATTTAACGGCATGGGCATAATCTTTGTTGAATATTTCTGGGTTCAACTCAAGCCGGAAGTGCATTAGATGGTACAACTATTTCGTTATCATATGTTACGTTACGACGATCAAGAACGTTCATGGTTTGCGGACCATTTCAAATCTTACTACTCATAAACCCTCTTACATGTACATGGGATTTTGAAAAGTTTACGAAGTGCGTAATTTAGTCGGGGAATTTACGGTAAGAAAAATGGTAAAAATAAATCACGTTTTATAGGACAACAGCACAAAACAGGCCAGATTTGAGCGTCAGGGCGTTGCATGCTGTAAAATAACCGGTGTTTCTTGGTTTATGTGCTAAGTGTACTAGGTTTAGACCTACATGCTTTAGTATTCATTACTCCGTGAAGGAGGTCAGGACCTCCGGACGGAGTGTTGTAATCGGCTGATTTTTCATGTTCGCAGTCAAAACACTGTGTTCTCTTTGTTTAATCGGCACGCAATTTTATACGCCGTCTGCGGGCATGCCCGTGTTGATGCACGAATGTGTATTTTTGCCGTTGCTGCTTTCGCGGTCAATGTAATATCGCAGACGCACCCCTACAATTACGAGGCGAATTGGAATGGTCCAGAAAAACGCGTTGTTTGGAATAGCAGTGGGGTTAAAAAAGTTCATGCAGATACGGGGTGGTTTTTATAAGTGGTGCCCATGGTTAAGAGATGCCAAGTTTTTTGGAAGATGTTCGCAGCCAAAACGCATTCTTCCGTACGTCGCATTTCTGTGTAATTTCGCATGTGGTGTTGCATTATGTCCGGGATGATGCACGTCTTTTTATTTTTACCGTAGCTGTTTTGATATTGGAGTAAATGCATATTTTAGAAACATCCCTACTTTTACAATCCTGTGGAATAGGCCGTAGGTTTAGGCAGTTGTCTGGTAGCAGAGGTACTCATAAGCAGA